AAGGTTTTCTGAGTCTCACATTGAAAGCTACTCATAATATATTACAATTACTTGGTTTTATTGGCTTACAAGAATCTACATCTAAGCTAGTTGAACTTAAATAATATGGACAGTTTTAAAAAAATCAATTAGAGCTTTTTATAATCATTATTTGCTCTTTTTGAGTCCTCTTAATTTCTTCTTTTTTTTGTCATTCATGACCATCTTTAGTAGTTTCTACATTTTTTATTTGTGCAAGCTGGATATGAGACAAGTTAGACAACTAAAATCCATTGCTTGCACATGGAATAATTTTCATAATTGCTTACATTTCGTTTAGGTTTAAATGCAATCATGAATTGTAATCGTGGGTGAAAACAGGAAGTCCCCACTCAATCCTTGCTGGTGACCACACACAAAGGTAACCAAAATGATCTGATTTCTTTTTTCGACGGATTTTGGTTTGACAAAAAAGCTATGTTAGTATTGAAATAGCTACAAGTGTTCACAGTTTGTAAAACAGGAAAAAATCAGGCCTAAAGTTTTCAAGTTCATCAAATACAAAACCATCCGTGGTTATATCAAAGTCTCCATAAAATCTCTAATAAATTTTAAGCCACAGGACTGACCATTTGGAACTCGTCAAGATGGAAGGTCGACTCAAAAAGTTAACATAAATCTTAAAAAAATCCCTTTAACGCACACCCCAAACCCAAACTAATGTCACAGAAATTTGACAAAGTATTTCCCGAATACAAAATGTTTTTACAATCCAATCGTTACCGTGACAGACTACAAACGCATGCGTAATTGAGCGGAGTAAGTAAAGGAGACTATGCTGTTTATGTCTGGAGGTTCGAGTTTTATTTTAGAAAGAACGAACCTTGGAAAGATTTCCGTATCACCTCATACTATTCTAGCTAAAAAGCCGTAGTCCCTGTTAGCTCCCATCTTGGATTGTATTTACCATTGTTTTCTTTATCTAAGAAGTGTATGCATAAAGACAGATAGGGAGGTATAAGGCTGTGCAGAAATCTCGCCAGATCGAACCTTCTAAATTCTTATCGCCTATGAAAGCTTTTGATATAGCTATATATGAAACCGCTTCTCACACTGCACAACAAAATTAACAACCATTCATGCTTTTATTCAAACTTATATTCTCTCACACTTAAAATCAGATAAAAAATTAAACTTGAAGCGTCTATTCTTGGTTCCTATAAATTATTTTTTTACTCACTAATACGCCGTTTTCTATCCTTTTTTACGTATATATATACGGGAAACTAGATATATGTAGCCAGGTATCATTTGTAACTGCGATATAGAGGTATAGTTAGGTTAGTTGATGACCTTCTGCTTCTGTTACTGCTACTGCCTCAGTTAACACCACTCCTACAGCATACTGCTTCTTCCATTGCTACAAACACGTCTTCTGTTACCGCTATTACCACTGATACTTCCGGTACTACTGATAATCTTTACAAACAGCGATATACTGGGTTTAAGTGAGAGTTGTAATCTCTTAATGACACTGACGCTGCAATGTTTTTGTTCTATTTGTTACTGACTGATATTGATACTAATACTATCAACTCCGTAAGCGAGCTTGTAAAAAAACTTCTCTGTACTACTGAGTATACGAGTAAAGGACTGCGACCACACATAACCCGCGAAGTTATCTCAGGTTTTTTCTCTCTAAGGCAAACTTTCATTTTGAAATCTGTTATTAGATAAAACATGTTCTCACTTCCTCCTAGACATCTCAAAATCCATACCAGCATTCATTCTCCCCGTAGTGTCTCTTGCTGAAGATGTCTTGGCTTTGCAAAGACATTTTCTGATCACCAGTAATGCAATCAAAAGAAGCAGTACTCCTCCAGCTGCTGACCCACCAATTATTGCATAATTTGGACCTTCTTGAGGAACCGCTCTTGTCTCCGTTGGTACATGCGAAGTAATCGCTCCTTTGTTAAAAGAGAAAGAAAAAAATATATTTCAAACTTGAACTTGAACTAAAAAGAAATGAATGAATGAATTCCGGCTAATTTCTATTTCACTTATCCGCTTGATGAAGGATTCCGATCTGTTTACGTCAAGCATGCAACATGCGGGTTTCCATACCACGGTATGGAAATGATGTTAAAATAGTTGAACACTTTCTGAATTTGTTATAACAGTTAGTAACTTGCTTGCACTTTAAATGTACATAACGTTTACGTTAATTATTTTCAATCCCTTATGACATTTCAAAGCGGTTTCTCCAGTACTGATTCAATTGCAGAATCCAATCGGCAAGCGAGTTGACCCCATTTCTAATTTCAGTGATAAATGTGAAATAGTTAGTTCTACTTGTTAAAGAGGTTAAATCGTGGTTTGTGCGTACGTATATATGTCAAGGTTTTCATTTCTTGTCCTCTGTTCATCTTGTTCATCTTTGCTCCATATTCATTTATCACCCTTGTAAGTACTTTGTTCACTAATTTCTCTCGTTTGAAGTTGTCATTAAACTATTTATCCAATAAATGCGCTTTGATAATGTTCTCGCCATTTAAAAATGGAAACAAACTCACCTGTGGACGCCGTAGTCTCAGGCAAAGTAGACGTGCTAGAGGTTTCAGATTTCCTCTTTGTGAAGGGTTTGGTAGATCTATTCCGGGACTTTGTTCTCGGAAAGATGTTGATTTCAACTGTCAAACTGATGTCTGTTGTACAAGAAACGTCCCCGTTGTCACTGGCACTAACAGTTAGATGATGAACCTTTTTTGTCAAGTCGGACACCACGGTAACCACACCAGTTTTGTTATCAATAGAGAACGCGTCATTTTTGGATAGGCTA